ATTTGTACTGTTTAAGGGATGGAGGCTTAAGTTCACGTCCACCTTTTCTTCCTAAAACACATGAAATGGTAGATGATTTCTTCTTTTGATTCAATTGTTTCTTGGAGTGATAACAACAAAAGCTTTATTGTAAAGAACCCAATGAACCTTTTCTAGAGACTTTTTTCCCATATTTTATTATTTTTGAAGCACGAGAATTTCTCAAGTTTCATTCGTCAGTTGGATACATATGTAAGTTTTCTAAATATTTTTTACTCAAATTCAAATCAGCCTTATATGTCATCTACAACTAAAACAAATTGTGTAGCTAATGTGATTTTCTTTTGAATATTAGCGATTGGAACGATTTTTGCAAAGTTTAACCTATGTTTGAATAATATGAATTACTACGCTCACAAATTTTTTTAAAATAATTTGAAAACGCAAATTCATTAAGCACTATATTTGATTTAATTTTTTTTATGTAAAAAAATGACATTGCTGAAGAATCAAATAAATCAAAGGTAAAAAAAATGCTATAATTACTGGTAGCCAACAAACAACAACAAGTTTTTTTCCAAATAGTTTCTATCACCACAACGATTTGCCTTCATTTATCGATATCTATTTTGTTTTTTTCTAATATTCTAAAAAAGTTTTTATTATTTATGAAAAGGAGAATTAACCCAATATTTCAATGACATTTGAATAATAATAAGCTCATTCATTTTAAACTATAAGCCCATGAAATAAGCTTTAAGAAATAAAAGAATAACGTGGAACAAAGAAGTATTATAATTAGCAGAGAATAGCTGAGTTGTATTAATAAAATGTTTTCATTGGATGTTGATTTTAATTAGGTGTCACTCTCAGAACAGCTCAAAAAGCTGATGTGTCAACGTAGGAGAGATCCCTATTGTTTTTATTGTATTGATTTTCTTTGTTGATATAGTAATTATGTACATTTACTTGATTCTTTGATAATTTATATACTTATAATTTGATTGGTGCAACTATTTTATGTCCTTAATTTAACTTCATGATCAACAGATATAACCTCGATTTTTGTTTTGTTGAGAAGTTTCGTTTAGCAATATTTGTCTACCGAGAGTGTAATAATACCACAGTTTGCTAGTTTCTCTGCATTCTTAAATGAATAAGCTAAATAACTGACCTAAATAACTGACAATTACAAAGTCCACATATGAAAAAAAAGAATAAATTTCTTTTTTTTTAGAATAAAATTATTTTAATATAAATAATTCTTCAAAATATTGTTTTTTATTTGTTCGTAAAAAAATTGTTGAGACTTTTGGACTTAAATATCAAAAGATGGAGATGAATTTCGGCTATATATCACCGGAGGTCTTGAATGAGACACACTTTCATGTTTATAAACCCTAATCTCCATGCACCATCATCTTTGATATGCTTTTAATATTTCACTCTTTTTTTTTTTTTTTTTAAGAATGTAAATATTTCATACTCTAAAAATGACCACGTTTTCGTATGTAGATTAGCTGGAACTACTTAATTAAATGAATGAGTTTATATGAAGATTAGCTGGAACTGTGATTAAATAAAGGAGAGATTTTTTTCAAACGTCATATATATCCCAACCAATTCTTTAGTTTTAGTATATATGTTATGAAGTAATCATTACTCATGTATCAAACTTGCCTATCTTCTATATTTTCATTACATATATTATTTCACATATATTACATATATTAAGCATGCTCACATGGGACATATGATATAACTGAGTAATTAAGCTACATTATATAAATTACATATAACAAAAAAGTCAAATGGCATCGGTAATCATCCGTCTCTATATATATAGTAATTCTTGTCTCATATATACATAAAATAAATAATGAGGTTCTAAGAAAATGATCTACAACTAAAACAACATACTCCACCAATATATACAAAATATGTACATATATCTTTTTATGATAAGTAAGTAGAACTTGATGAGAGTTGAGCATAACTCGATTCTTAAACCTGACAACTGCTTGATATGTTGTGTTTTTGGTGTCTTTCGTCCATGTTTAATAGTCGTTTTGATCCATTTGTCCTGTCAAAGTCTGTATTTTGTATTTTTTTTTTTGTCGCATTTTGAGTCTTGTACAAGTTTTAGATACTTATGCAGAGTTTGGATGATTTCGAACTTGCTCGGGTCAAAAATGATCAAGAAGAGAAGCTGATGTCAATGGACCCATCAATCTAGGAGTGGATTGATCGGTCCAGTTTTCAAGAGTCAACGAATTCTTTTTCCATGAGCTTCTAGAACGGTCGGTCAAGTTCACCGATTGACCGGTCCAACCATTATTGACGAAGAGTTTCACTTTTAAGATATTTTGCAGAAGAACAATCGAAAAACTAGAGATATTACTTTATTTATTATTTAAATTAAATTAAAATTTTAATTTAGATATAAAGGATGTTATTTGTGGAACTTTATAAAATGTGGTGCTAAAATTAGAAACAAAACATATTATTGTGCCATTTATGATAATTGCTCTTATTAATTTATCAGATATTAATTTAAGATTTTAATTATGTGTCTTCTCAGGTAAAATAGTTTCATATTTTGCTTAAAAAAGAAAAAAAGAAGAGCATGAGATGCATTAGCAATGTTCAAGAAAGCGCTAAGCGGACGGTGATCCGGTGCCTAGCGCCTAGAACGCAGAATCGGGGCTAGCCGATTTTTAAGCAGTTTAGACGTTTATAATATAAAACATTATAAACATGATATTATGTATAAAATTTATATTAAATATCTATAAAAAACTAAAAATATGAAATCATAAACAAAAATTAGATAAAACCTTTTATTTATATTTATATTAAACAATATATGAACACTTATAACTATATATATAGATATAAAACTTAATTGGAAATTGAAAAAGTATATTAAACAAGTTCTATGTAATTTTAGGCGGTCAAGACAGTTATTTAGGCATCGCAAAAGAACCTAGCGCCTAACGTCTAGTCGGAGCTTAAGTGACCGCGTAGACCGTTTTTTAGAACACTGGTTATGAGTGATAAAGAGAATCAATTGTTGCATATAAATGATTATACCCTTTGAAATAATATCTTACAAAACTAATTTTTTAAAAATATTTCCATATAAATGAATATATCATTATCGAAAAAATAATTTATTTCATTTATTTTCATAAGAAAAATCAAGAGTTGAAAAAAAAGAAAAAAAAAACTGAAAAAAAAGAAAAGAAAAAGAAAACAAAGAAGAAGAATAGCCCAATTCATAGTCTTGATGGGCATTATTAGAAAGCCCGTAAAGACATTACAAATAGATGAGGCCCATTAGGCCCATTTAATTATAAAAACTAGGTTTCGGAGGGTTTATGCATCATTCTTATATAAAGTCTCGTCTTCCCAAATTTCACAACTCTTCTGCAGCCGATTCTTCTATTAGCCGCCATGGTAATTGCTTAAGCTTCTCAAACTCCATCTCTATTCTCGCTGATTTGACCTAGAAATCGTCTTCCCTAATTTTCTCATCCTTCCTTTGCTGATTTCGCAGGTGAAGTACTCGCAAGAACCCGACAACCAGACCAAGTGTAAGTAAATTTCCTTGTAACAAATTTTTTCTTAGTACCATTTCGTTGTTTTGATCTTTGTGGTAATCTTTGTTTTTTGATTTTGCAGCTTGCAAGGCTAGAGGATCCGATCTTAGGGTTCACTTCAAGGTATGTATAGCTCTGTAATCATTTTGATTATTCGAATGTAGTTAGATTTATGATTAGGAGATTGTAGTATTAGGTTAAACCTGATTGAGAAAAAGCAGAGTTCTGTTGCAATTTACAACAGATCTCACGTATACTTCAGGGAAATTGAATTGGTCATCGTGATTGGGTGAATCTATGTTTATTTTTTCTCATAACTATAAGATTCAGTACATGATGGTACATTGATTTATCATTTCACAGTTATGGTTTGTGAGTTTTGGGTTTTTTTTGGTTAATCAATTAGTAGGGCTTTGTTACATTGTTCTTATGTGAACCTATGTAGAATTTTAGTGACTTATGGTTCAGTAAATGATGTGATGTTGGTTGGTTCTGATTTTGTTTTGTTTTCTGTGGATTGTGTGAAACAGAACACTAGGGAAACAGCGCACGCCATCCGGAAGCTACCATTGATCAAGGCGAAGAGGTACCTTGAGGATGTGATAGCTCACAAGCAAGCAATTCCCTTCACACGTTTCTGCAGAGGTGTTGGGCGAACTGCTCAAGCTAAGAACAGGCACTCTAATGGTCAAGGACGTTGGCCAGCCAAGTCTGCTCAGTTTGTTCTTGATTTGCTCAAGAACGCTGAGAGCAATGCTGAGGTCCGAATAACATTCTTTTAATTATGAATGTTTGGAATCGTTTTTATTTCTCTCTCTCTCTGCCCTTTTGCTAATTAGCATAATTTGACTTTGATTGTTCAGGTGAAAGGTTTGGATGTTGATGCCCTGTTCATATCACACATCCAAGTGAACCAGGCCGCAAAGCAAAGGAGAAGGACTTACCGTGCTCACGGAAGAATCAACCGTAAGTTTGAGATATTGTAATTTACTTACATGGTTAGCTTTTTGTATTCTTCTGTTTGACTCATTGGGTCTGTCTTGATTGCAGCTTACATGTCCAACCCATGCCACATTGAGTTGATTTTGTCTGAGAAGGAAGAGCCTGTCAAGAAAGAGGTAAGAATTTTGATCTCGTTGATGATTCAAGATTGTGTTAATTTCAGTGATTCTCATTTTGTTAATTGTTTTTGATAATTGTAGCCGGAGACTCAGTTGGCTGCCAAGTCCAAGAAATCTGCAGCTTAAGCTTTCTTTGTTTTATTTTTATGTCTCTTTATGTTCTTGAATCAGATTTTGTTCCCTTTTTCTTTAGTTCTAATCGTTTTGTAAGACCATGGATAGATTTTTCTTGGAGATTTTCGTTCAATGTTACTGTTATGAAATCATTGGTCATGGCTAGTCTTAGTAATTATCACTCTATCTTAATAATTCTGCAATTTTAATATCTTCAGTGTTTGTTAGTCAACTGACACAAATAAAATAACAGAGACGAAAAGACCTGTACAAACAGTTTTCGACTTGGTCTTTGTGGAAACATGATTTCTCTCATTGTCATTTATTCTCATTCTCAATGGCTCGGATGATTGGGTCGTTCTCTATGTCCAAGTCACTGTCTTCATCTTCGAACTCATCCAGCTCACTGATCATTGTCTGTTTAGTTTTCTTCCTTGACTCTCTCCTATGCTTCTTAGGCATTAACCGTGGTTCAGCATGTTTCACACCCATGTCTCCCACCTTGTACCTGTGGTGTCAAGGATGATTCCAAAGGAAACCACATTAGTGATTGTCACCAATAAAAAGAAATCTTTTGTTTCAGGAGAAATCCCAACAATACCTAACATCATCTTCCCTTTTGGTTCCAAAAGTCCTAAGCTGAAACTCTTCCCTGATTCTGATCTCATCAAGCAGTTGTAAGTAATAAGGATACCTTTCCCAATCACCTTTCACAACACATCCTGGTTCCCCAATATGCAAGCAATCTCTGAATCCACATTTTTCGCCCTCAATCATGTTCCTTATCTAAAGAACCAGTTTAGAAAACAACACAGCCGTCACAATCAGTCCATAAAGGAAATGAGCATAAGCCAAAGAAGAGTACAAACCTCAGGAAAGCAGTGTGCAAGTGATTGCTTTGTTACTTTCAGCAAACTAGGCTGGTTAAAGCCAGGTGTATCAGCGAGGTAACCACCTTCAGAAATCGGCAGTAGCGATACATTTCGTGTTGTATGTTTACCTCTACCACTTCTAGTAGACACTTCTCCTACTCGCTGATCATCAAACCACTTATTACCTAACATCTGAATATCACAAAGCTCAAGTCATGAGGGATATGGCAAAAAAAAAAAGTTAAGCAGTACAATGAAATAACACGAGAGAACCTTACAGGCTCAAACCAATTCTCATCTTCCACCGCACCACTACCATGGTTACTCCTCAATATGTTGATTAAGCTCGACTTTCCTACACCACTAGGTCCAACAATCACAGAAGTCTGATTCCGCAGAACAAACGCAATCGCATCAAGTCCGTCTTTAGTTCCCACACTACAAAACAATGGTTCATAGTTCCATCCACGCAATCTTATCTTCCAAGATTCCAATTCCTGTAAACAAGTTTATGATTCTAATCAATCCCTAAAGCAACAAAGCTAGTAGTGAGCTATACAATTTCTTCGTCCTCCTTACCTCTTCACTAATGAGTTCAGTTTTATTCAAAGCAAGTGTGAGTGGAATTCGAGTAGATTCAGCTTCCACCAAGAACCTAGTGAGAGTGAACAGCTCCAGTTTCGGTTGATCCAAAGAGAAAAGAACCAGTAAATGATCAACATTCGCAACCGGTGGATCCAAAATCTCCGAGCGGCGATGAAACACATTCTCAATCATTCCTCTCCGATCAACCCAATCAATAGATCCAACAAGAACCTTATCTCCAACCAAAACTCTCCTTCGTATCTTCTTCAACACAGCTCTCACTACACAAAGCAACTCAACACCAGTCTTTGAAGAATCATCATCACCACTCTTCACAGAACTAGCTACATCTTGAACAATGACGCGCATAAAGTTCGCTTGAGCTGTTGCGACTGTGCCGATAGCTTGAGACTCTAAGAGCGAAGGTTTATGCTCCGGCGAGAGAACCGGTGACAAGGAGGAGGAGTAATTTTTACCGATATGCTTCGCTCTGAGCATATTCTTACTAGGTTGGGGTTTTCTTGAGACATCGGGATTATCTCGTCTCGCTGAGAGAGGAAAAAAGCTGCGACGGATTCCGATCCCGATTCCAACTCCGCCGTGAAAAATCGCCGTGCGACGGAGGAGTGAAATTGAAGATGTCTGCATAAGAAAATTCTAGAAGAATCGATGACTGTGTAGTGAGGAGAGAGTAGTAGAAGTTTATGAAGAAGATTAGAGTAATGGGCCTTTTGTGATATTGTGATAAGTGTTATGGGCCCAAATTTATGGCCCATATGATGCATATTTATGGCCCATATTTATGACTGGTAATGGTGCAAATATACATTTACATATAATATGGTTTTGAGTCATCATGATACACAAGTACATCAAGTTGGAAAAACAAAAATGACATGAATACTTTGTCCTAAGAATACCAAACAGTGGCATACATAATAGTGGGAGCTAGGAATTTTTGTTATAGGGATCAAATTTTTTTTAATATAAAATAATAAATATTATATAAAAATAATATTTTAGATTTTTTTAAAAATAATTGACACATAAAAAAAACAATGAAATATTTATTTCAAAATCAATCAATGTTGATATTTTAAAAGTTTTTTAGTTATGTTCCACAAAGATTAACAAATAGAGAAGAAAGATTAGATTTGTGGATGTTTTTTTATAATTAAATATAATATTAGATCATTAGCTGGATTTGATTTTAATTAAGACAGAAAAATTCTAATATATCACGATCTAAGATTGAAAAAAAATAAAATAAAGAAGAAGAAGCTAAAACATTTTTATACTACAAACAAATGTTAAAATATAAAGTTAGTTTTTTTTTTTTTTTTGTCAACAACTTTATTAGATTAGCTTATACAAGCCAATTTTGGGGGATATTGTTTACATAGGTAATTAGATGCGGTTGGGTACGAACATTTCGTTCCAAATTATCCGCTTTTGAATTTGCACGTCGAGAAATCAAAGATAAAGAGAAAAAATCAAACTCATCCTTGTCGCTCTGAATAGCCTCTAGATATGTAGAAAAAGTTGGCCACTCCGTCGGGGAAGACACCATCTTCACCAGGTTTGAGCAGTCTGTATAGAAATTTACTTCGCGTTTGTCTTGGCCAATCATACATCTCATGGCCCAAACTAATGCTTCCACTTCTGTGTGCAGACATGTAAGACTTCGTCGGAGGTTGACAGCGCCCATGGTTGGTTCATCCTCACCTTGTAGTGTACAGAACCATCCTAACCCCAAATAGTTGTCACTGTCTTTCCAAGAGCCGTCAATGAAACATCGATATCCTATAGTTTTTATAACCTCTTACTCAACTGGCTCACGGGACGGTACATGATTATAGTATTTTATTAAAAGTTATATGCGTCGATGGGTTTAAAAGTTAGTTTATATTAATGGGTTTAATTATAGTATATTTATTTACTTAAAATAAATTTTATTGGGCTTAATATTATTTAGAAGTACAATATAATTATTGGGCTTAGATATATTAATCTTTTAACATAAAATTCTACGAGAGTCAAAACTTTTATGAGATTGGGGTCAATTTAATATTTTTAATAAAATTTTAGCTAATGTTTTTAATTTTACCTAGGTCAATTGGCCCCTTTGACTGTGCACTCCCTCCGCCTCTGTTATTACATATGACCTACGTTCAGCTCAGACACGACACAAGTAGCCGACTTTTCTCGAGGAAGCTGTCGATCAAGGTACGAGATAAGATATTGAACTGTGCAGACTTGATTTTTCCTACCAAAAAAAAGAAGAAGAAAAAACTGTTAATTGGTGGAATCTCTGGATAGTTATCTTAAGGCCCCTGTGATGGCTTTCAGACCATCCCTTGAAGCTAAACTTAGTTGCATAATATTTGCTTACATGAGTTTAAGCTTTGCTCTGATGCTGCAAAAGATATCTACTTCTACTTTTAACTAATTTTTGTTAAGTTATTAAAGGGAGAAACTGGCAGCGATTTGTTGCGTCTTTATTTCCAGAGCTCACCCAACTTTACTGAGTTTCTGGAGGCATGGAAGCTTCATCATGGAAAACAAGGACTTTCCTATATATTCTCGCTTATCCAGACGATTTTGAGTCATCCAGAGGGAAAATGTAGATCATCTGATATTGGAAGAGCTCTTGACCAGTTTGGTAGGTTACTTATCGAAGAAAAACTCGATGACATTTACAAAGCATTATCGAATAGCAAAGAGCCAAAACAACAGAATGCTGCACTTTCACTGTTGGCTTCTATCGTTAGACGTGGTCCAGGCATGGCATCACAAATGGCTAGGACATTTGATTTTCAGGGTTTCGAAAAACAGGCAGTGTATAAAAAACCGAGGCGGGCTTTTGTTGAATTTGCAATATCATTCCTTGAAGTTGGGAAGCCTTCATTAGTAAAGTCTATCTTAAAGCAGAAGCAACTCTATTCTCAACTCCTACAAGGCCTTGGGGAAGACGATGACGACACTCTGGCTTCTGTCTTGTCTACGTTCAAGGACAAGATCCTTGTTGAAGAATCATCGCTTAGTCCTGGGCTTATGAGTGCTCTCTTTGGACCCAATACACTAAAGCAGCTAGTCATCATTTCAGAAAGAGAGTATGGTGGGATTGTGAATGAGTTGGCCTATGATGTTCTTGTTAAAGTTTGTACGGACCCCTCTAATGGATTGATGCCAGATGCAGAGAGAAAAGGCAATATAAAACGACTACTTGCGCTCATGAAGAGCTTGAAAGCTACAGAAATTGGTTATCCCAGGGATTTGCTGATAGCCATTATTAGGGGTAGACCGTCTTTAGCTTCTGCTTTCTTGGATGAATTTCCATACAATGTGGAAGATTTTACATCACCTTACTGGTTAGTCAGAGTACCAGAGTGTATCTATCTTTATGCCTTTTATTTTTCGTTCTTTTATTATGCATAGTAACTCAAGTCATTGCAGGTTTTCTTCTATTTCCCTGGCAGCAGATTTGGTATCGTCAGTAAGAATTTCATCTTCTTTTGACTTTCTCAACCCAGATCAACCTCCTTCTGGTGGTTCAGAGGTCCATACTATCATGAAATGCATATGCCCCCGACCATTTAGCCGGTTGTTGATCGTTAGAGGGATGCAACATTCTGATTTCCTTGTGAAACATGGGACTTTGAGATTTCTCTGGGAGACGCTGAGGCTGTGGGATTCTTTTGTTACTGCTTGGAAACTTTACTCGTCTCGTAGCTGCTCTGTTGACCAAATTCAGGCTTCTCTTGAGCGGGATATCATAGGTGAGGTGATAAGCTTTTTTCCAGATTTCCAGCTGTTATGGAACATACTAAAGGTGTCTCAAAAGCTGCCTTTGAAGAGAAAAGAAGGGTTGGATATTGAATTAGTAGATAGAGAAAAGCGTTTAAAGAGATCTGAAAAGGATGTTGTGGAAGAATTGGCTGATGATATGGTCATTGGTGGGCTAGGTTCTGATAGTAATATCCTTTTGGAAGAGGATACTGGGGATGCTCAGTTAACAGATCAGGCAGATGCTGAAAACGAATATCTTGGGATCGTTTCAGAAATTTGGGGTTCAGAGTTTTGTTCTAAGCCTATTGCTTTGGTAGATGAAACAGAGATGTTCTTTCACATAAAGCTCCTGGATACCCTCGGGATTTATGTGGTACGTTGATCTTTCATTTTATTAATTTTGTTGTGTTGTTGTTAATTATGTGGTACTTGACGACTACATATTTTTCATGTTTGCAGCGTTCTGTGCCTAATGTGCCTGAAGGGTTGTTTGATGTCTTCATGAAATTTCTGAGCAGTTCTTCAGGTTTGCCAGCTGAATTGCAGAGAGCTCTGTTGTCTTTACTGAATGAATGCATCAGTTGGAGGCCAAAGTCTCAATTTGAGAGAGGTCCTAGAAGAATTCCACCACTTATGTTCAAGCATTTGCATGTATTTATAACTTTGTTACTTCTTTCATCACACGACGAGGTGAAGGTTCTATCATATAATTTAGCACGGGTATCTATGACCAGCACCGGTGCATTTGACATAAATCCAAGTGAAATTGAGGCATGGTTCCGGTTTCTACCAAGTGTTGGAAAGATTAAACTACCTCTTAATGTTCAGAGCATATCATCATTTGTCATCTCCTTTTTATGTGATGCAGTTACGGCTGTTGGAAATACTTTATTCCAGCAATGGGCAATTGTCAGAAGCATATCATCATTTGGTATCGATTTTGTCTGATTCATGGAGGGTTCTTGATGACATTCACTATTGGGAAGTAATGTTTCCTCAGCACAGCGTGTCATTGAAGGGAAATACTTACCTTTTTGGTCGAGGAGAGGATATAGATGAAGAATTACGAGTGATAACAAAGGATGAAGAATTTTTAATCTGTTTTGACTTTACAAGAGAGAGATTTGGACCGCGTTTTCCTTTGCCACTTAACTTTTTATTTTCAGATATTGCGGCTCTATCTTCTATTAGAGAAGAACAGCTTGCGGTGCTATTTAGACCTTTATATACATCCGAGGTGGAGATACGGGTAACAACTAAGGTTGAGCCCAATGAAGTCTTGTGGAGCAACTTCGTAACATTCGATAGTACTTATTCTAAGTTCAAGATTTTAGCTGGGAGTTTTTTCATCAACCAATAGAAGAAACTCGCGGTGCTTTTTGATATAAGCATATTAAATAAAAGATACCTTGCACAACGTAGCTCACATTGTTGGAGAGAATGGATACTTGAGAAAAGTGGATCTCGGAGAAGCTGATGTGTCGCATGGTCACACACTTGTGTGCTCTTATGCTCCAAGTTTAGTGCAAATCAACGAAGGCCTAGTAGTAGAACTATCACCTTATCACAGTCTTTTTCACAGTATCTTATTTGTGTCTTTAATCATCTTCTTTTCATTTATTTACTCTGTTTTGTATTGAACAAGACTACTGAATTATGGATTTTTTAAATATATTTATATCATATATGATACTCAAAAGCTTTGTTGTATTGAAGACTTGACCAAAGTATTTATAGAACATTATAGCTTACTTGGTTTTCATTTTCTTTGAGAGATTGAATATTTGATATGGTTAATGAACAATTGAACAGAAACTCGGGTTTATTGTACTGGACTTGAATGAGAATTTTTCGATCAAATCGAAAACCAAATCATTGATCATGGTTAGTACT